CTAGACAATACTGCTTGGGCTGCGACGGTAGGACGACACGGGTGGTAGACTGTATCATGTCAGAAGGTCGATAGTTTTCATTCTCACGATGATGAATATGCATAGAAATGTTCCTAGATAGAGGTGGAGTCAAAAAGGGGGCACATGAGGAGAAGGAGGCTATGAGGTCAAAGGGGTTAGGCGTTCTGGTTTCCTACCGCCAATTTTCTACGTATCTTTTTATTACCTCGCCATTTAAATCAATCACGCCTATGCAGTTTAACTGGCTTGGAATACTTATGCGATGAAGTAGTGCCAGGCATCGGTTTACCAACTTAAACTCGATGTATGGTCATAGAGACCCTATGCGTTGATGCGTTGCCGAGGGCTGAACCCAGGCGAGTGATATGCGGAGAGCAGTCCCTATAGCAAGCAACAAATGGATTATTAGGTCAGGGTGTACCTGGCGCCCTGTGGCAAACGACTTGACTACAATATAGCCATGAACACTAATATCATGATGATCCCAAGGAAGTCAGTTTCACAGCACCACCGAACACCGAACACCGAACACCGAGAAGTACCATCTACTACCTTTCGGGGTCCGCGGACGGGAGACTACAAGCCAACCCAACATTTATGGCATATCATACTTGTGGCGAGGAAGGCTATATTACCATGAAGCAGACAAAGAAGAGAATGATACTTCATCTTTGCATTCATCACGTTGATACATTGCATCCGGACAGATAAATCTGTAATAGGAAGCCATGAAAGACGCCGAGCGCATTCCCGGACCCAAACGTAAGTACTAAAAACTTATTGTCGGCTCAGTCACGCAAGGCCACTCTTTATATCCTCAATATCTTACTGACAGTTCGTCTCTTCAGCCCTGCCGGTTGTGGGAAATTTGTTTGACATCGACCCTGAACATGGTCTGCAATCCATTATCGCATTCGCAGAGAAATTCGGTATTTCTATTTCCCATCGTCTATGTGCTCCGTATGATAGGGAAGCCCTCTAATCTGGCGATTTCTTCTAGGACCCCTCTTTCAAATCACTATCAACGGTGAAAAGCAGATCTTCGCGACTAGCCAGGCCCTAGTAGATGAGCTCTGTGACGAATCGCGCTTCCACAAGGCCGTGGTGACCGGCCTCGAGATCTTACGATTGCTGGCCCACGATGGCCTCTTCACAGCCTACCATGGAGAGCGCGGCTGGGGGATCGCTCATCGGATTCTGGTGCCTGCCTTTGGACCCCTACGTATCCGGAACATGCTCGACGATATGAGCGACGTAGCGCAACAATTGTGTTTGAAGTGGTAGGTATCTCTGGATTCAAAGTTCAAGTAACTAGATAATAAACTAACGAATGTGCTCAATTTCTGGGTCGATGCAGGGCTCGCCAAGGAGGTTCAACCAGTATCAATATCACCGAAGACTTCACACGCCTCACTCTAGACACTATTGCCCTCTGCACGATGGGTTTCCGGCTGAACAGCTTCTACAACAACGAGACCATGCACCCATTTGTTCAATCCATGCTGTACGTCCTGAGGGAAGCCGATATCCAGGCTAATCTTCCCGGGATTGCAAATTCAATTCGTGTTTCGGCACAGCGGCGCATGCATAAGAACATCGAGGCGATGAGGACCATGGCTCGCGGCATCATCCAGGAGCGCAGAAAGAACAAAAATCCAGTTGATGACATCCTGAACACGCTCTTGAACGGGAGGGACCCAGTCACTGGAGAAGGCATGAGTGATGACTCAATCATCGACAATGTCATCACCTTTTTGATTGCTGGCCACGAAACAACTTCCGGCCTGCTCTCGTTCACGTTCTATTTTTTGATCCAACACCCCCACATCTTGAAGAAGGCCCAGGAAGAAGTCGACGAGACTGTCGGCCTGGCCCAGATCTCTGCGCAACACCTCGCAGAGCTTCCGTATATCGATGCCATATTAAAAGAGAGTTTGCGCTTGATGCCTATTGCCCCTGGCTTCACCGTCACTCCGAAGAAGACGGAGGTTCTGGGCGGGAGATGGATGATCAATGCCGGTCAACCCGTCAATGTCCTACTGCCTGCCTGTCTACGAGATCAGAGTGTCTTCGGACCCGACGCAGACGAGTTCCGCCCTGAACGTATGTTGGCAGAGAATTTCTCTAAGCTGCCTCCCAACTCTTGGAAACCGTTTGGTAATGGTGAACGAGGCTGCATTGGCAGGGCTTTTGCTTGGCAAGAAGCCCAACTCGTGGTTGCCATGATTCTACAAACGTTTGATTTGGTGCCAGATGACCCGTCCTACCAGCTGCGCATCAAAGAGACTCTCACCATTAAGCCAGATGGATTTCGGATCCGTGCCACACTGCGCCGCGGCCAGACTGCCACTGGGCTATCTCGACGTAGCATGTTGGTGGCAAGGGATGGGAGCTCAGGAGAGTCGTCAAATCATCCCGCCGAGGCCCGCAGAGACCACACACCAGCAAGAGGGCAGCCGGTTTCCTTCTTCTACGGCTCTAACAGCGGAACATGCAAAGCTCTCGCCCACCAGTTAGCATCGAATATGATGTCCCGCGGTTATACTACCCAGAAGCTGGCTCCGCTAGATAATGCCGTCGACAACCTACCGAGAGATCAGCCAGTCATCATTCTAACAACCACGTACGATGGGCAGCCCACAGATGATGCGAAGAAGTTTGTCGCCTGGCTCGAAACTGGCAATGTTCTGTCTCTCCAGGGTATATCTTACGCTGTATTCGGCTGTGGCCATCATGACTGGACTCAAACTTTCTATCGCATCCCCATCTTGATTGATGACCTGATGTACAAGGCCGGCGCCACACGCCTTGCGCCACGAGGTGCAGCTAACGCGGCTGTCAGTGATCTCTTCTCGGATCTGGAAGCTTGGGAAGAAACAAGTCTGCTGCCCGCACTGAGGGAGAACTTCCTCCCATCCAACAGCACCGACTTCGATCCGCTCAACCCCCACCAGATACAGTTCAGCCTCAGTAAACCCAGGAGGGTGGACCTACACAAGGGTCTCATAGAGGCAAAAGTGACTGCTGTCCGAGTCTTAACTAGCCCCGACACCCCGGAGAAGCGACATCTGGAATTTTGCTTCCAGGGCGACCTCAGCTTGCGACCAGGTGATCATCTCAATATTCTCCCAGTCAATCCACCCAGCACAGTCTCGCGAGTCCTGGCGCAGTTCAACCTCGCACCGGATTACAACATCACAGTCAATTCATTCAACACACTTGGTCTTCCCCAGGCCACACCCGTGTCGGCATCCGAGCTATTCAGCTCGTACGTAGAGCTATGCCAACCAGCAACGCGGAATGTAAGTCCATACAAGCACGTTCCTCTAACTCGAAACACTTGGCTAATTGTGGAAATTCCAGAACCTCAAATCACTCATCGCAGCCACACAATCAGACACAGTAAAACAAGAATTGAACCGCCTGTATGATTCATACGAATTCATAGTCCGGGACAAACGCGTCTCGGTGTTGGATCTCCTCGAACAGTTCCCCTCTATCTCCCTTCCTATCGCTGCTTTCATCTCCATGCTCCCAGCTCTCCGCGTCCGGACCTATTCCTTGTCCATGGCTCCCGCGTTCAAACCATCCCACAGCTCGCTCACCTTCTCCGTGATCAACGAGCCAGCATGGCGCGGCAGTGGACAGCATCTGGGCGTCGCATCGAACTACCTCGCGTCGCTCACATCGGGGTCTATTTTTTACTTCTCTCCACGACCAGCCAAGGAGTCTTTCCATCTTCCGAAGAACCCTTCCAGCACACCTATCATAATGATCTGCGCGGGTAGCGGTCTGGCCCCTTTCCTTAGCTTTATACAAGACCGCATGGTCTTGAAACAGCAGAATAAACCACTCGCGATGGCATTTCTGTTCTTTGGCTGCCGTGGGCGCTCCTTGGATGACCTTTACCATGAAGAACTATCCGAGTATGAAGCTGCGGGTGTGGTTGAGGTTCGGAGAGCATATAGTAAAACCCCGGAGTTCGACATAGCTAAAGGATGTCGATATGTGCAACATCGACTGGTGACAGAAGGTCAAGCTATCTTGTCTCTTTGGGCACAGAATGCTATAATCTATGTCTGCGGCTCGACGAACATGGCCAAGGGTGTCGAGGCCGTGTTGCAGAATATGTTGGGTCCTTTGCCAAAGGAGCGATATGTTACGGAGATCTTCTGAAAATCCAAATGGCAAATGTAAGTAACCTAATATATAACAATATGACATTCCTAGTTCTTTTCCAAGATTGATATCAGAAATTGAATTTCTTCCATGGCGATGATAGAATATTGACTCTATCTATTCTCATCGCACTTATCCGTCGTCACCTAGAGTACAAGTAGCCACTCTTATACCTAAGACGCCCCAAACAGTGGGATTTCAACATATTTATCCCCGCTAGAGAAGCTCTTATGCCATCCATTGATTTGAAGGGTAACTATCGCACGAGATACCCCCATATAATAGATAACAAATTGCATGAGTAGCCCTCACATTGCGTTCGCAGCTGTTATATACAGTAGAGGTATTATCGAACCCACACAGACATACTACATGTTATGAAAGACCTAGTAGGAAGGGTAAATTACCATATACTTGAACGGGAAGGTATGTAGTACCTATGATGCCTACGGCTTCAATACCACTACTCTCGAGTACAACAACATCCAGCTCTTATCTTTAAATCCTTTAAATTTCATGAAAGGATTATTCTGAAACAATCTCCACAACTCAGGACCCGTCAACATGTCTGGATCGTGAGCCGTCCTCGGGGTTCGGACAACAACAACTTCATGCTTACTTTGCTTCATAACTCGGTGCTCGGGGCTTGGCTTCCCAGCGGCCTATAGTATTAAAACACACGAAGTTCAACCGCAGATTTCGCATTGATGGGAAAAAGAATATATAATCTCCGATTTAGATTACTTTTATTGAATTGAATTATAGAAATAGTATATCCAACCCACCACGCCAGCCAAACCATGACCCCCCCTCTCACCCTACATCGCGTGACCACCTTACAAGACCTAGAACCACTATACCACATCGGAGCAGATGCCTTCCGCGATGATCCAGGGATGAACTGGTTCTACCCTGGCGGTCGCGATCATCCCGAAGATCTTGTCGTGGCATGGAAATACCTTCTACTGCAGGAGTTCTTCGACAAGGGGAAGTATATCCTTGCTGCCTCGATCCCTGATCCAGATCAAGATGATACTAGTATTCGCGTTGAGAGACGACCGGGGAAAGTGGTAGGGTTTGCTGTTTGGGAACGGAGGGGGGCATCTGAGGCTGCGAAGAGTTGGCAGGGGGGTGGGGTTTTAAAAGGTGTGTGTGTATTTCTCTCTATCTGTGTGTGTGCGTGTGTCATGTTATGCTCTAAAACTAATAGCTACATGTGTCCAACCAGGGCTCAAAAGATTCCTGCTCAATCTGCAGATCATACACACATTCTGTTTCGACACACCACGCCGATCCTTATCCTGGTCCAGACTGAGGCATTTCGGACATGAGCTCGAGGCAGCCAAGGCTAGTCAACCGAGCGAGTCGTGGTATCTCAGCAATCTGGCCGTTAGCTCAACGGCTCAGGGAAAAGGGGTGGGAAAGAGACTCCTGCAATGGGGAATCGATCGATCCGAGGAAGAGGGTATCCCGGCTACATTGGTGTCCACTGACGCTGGGCTGGCTCTGTATACGAGTAGGGGGTTTAGGAATTCGGGCTGGCTGTTCTTTGATGATGGACGACAGAAACAGACGGTTATGAGGAGGAATGTTAAGTATGTGAGGTTGGATTAGATGTGGATTTGATGTGGTTATATTTCTTCGGTTCGACGTAGTTTATGATCTTTTCATTAGATTTAGATTGATAACCTTGTATATATTTGTTGTTGGTTTATATCTGATAGTGGCAATGGCTATACTAGCCGTTATCTTTGATCATTTGAGCACACTTGGTCTTTGAATGACATCGGTGTAAGGAAGTCTTTTAGGGGGAAACTTCGAAGGCCATAAGCCATAATCACCTGCAGATACCTGCGAGCCCGTAGAATCCGACATATGTACAGCTGAGTTGACTCGTTCTATGCCCGACCATCCAATCTAGAAATAATAGATCTGCAGATATATTCTATTCGTCTATGCGTTTTGCTCGTGGTCGCATCACAGCTAGGCGCAAATCCCAGCTATGTCTATAGTATGTCTATTTCTCGCATCAGGCCGGTGGGCCTCTCCTTTCTTTTCCTCTCCTCCAGGTAGGGTATAACTAGTAGATCCGTATCGGGTAGGTGTTTATCGTTCGGATAACTTCAATCACCACCCGGAGACCCGCAGACTAGACAGCCACAGCTAATCTGTAGATCAGGGAGTTCCGGAAGCGTAGGCAACATTCGAGGACCAGAGGCAAACTTGGCTTACTTCTTAATTCCAATGACAGCCAAGTTTCTCGGACTCTCCTTGTACTCAAACACTGGCTCAACCCAGCACTCCTTCACAGAGTCGTGTTCCCGCAGGAACTGCCATCTGTCAACGACAATGATGGCCTCAACCAGAGCAGCACTGAAAGCCATCAAGCTCCAGACCACGCTCAGGTTCTTTTTCGCATACCAGTAATCCTTCACATAGCGATCGAAATCTTCCTCGGTCAGATCTGCCATGCCGGCCTTGACCTTCTCGCCGAAGTTCGGGTCGCGACCCAGCTTCGTCACCGCAGCATTGGCATACGCGGAGAAGGAGACAAAAGCCGATTTCCGGAGGGAGCCTACAACCAGAGGGTTCCCGGCATCTTCAGGTTCGGTGGATTCATCATACAGATTGTCTGAATTGTCTGGGTTCTTGGGCTTCGCAACCACCTTGCGATCCACAAGCATGCGTTGAAGCAGACTCCGATAGAAGTGGCGGGTGAAGAAGTCTTCGCTGTCTTTCTTGCTCCAGTTGTACGGGGCCTGTAAGGACATTGAGCGAGCGGTGATGTTGAGCTTCATGCCCGTTCCACTCTCATGTTCGTAAACCTCGAAGCGTTTCGACATCGGGAAGCCATGAGGGTCGTATGCAACGGCATCCTTTGTCAGACGGGGATGCATCGACCGGAGAATGGGAAGCTTGTAGGTAGCAGGACCCAGTCTCTCAGTGACCAGATTGTAGCAACATCCGATCATAGCAATAGCTTTAACGGAGGGATTCAGGGTCAGAGACCGTACTCCGTGATGGAGAAGGTTGCCACAAGAATGTAAAGAGATGACCATGACATTAGCATCCTTTGATCCGCCTTGAGCTTCAGTCTCCCCTTCGACAGGCTCAGTCTCGATGACGTCTTTAATAATGGGCTCGAGGTAACCGTCCTTGATCTCATGCTCAATGTAGTCCATTTTACCTCGAGGTTTCTCCGGATCGACTTCCTCTTCGGTGGCAGTTTTCGGAAGATTGCGGTAAGGAGCGAACCCAATCTCGCCAGGTGCGAGACTGATATCACGGAAGACGTTGATCATGGCCATATCCTCTTCACCACCTGCCGCATCGCTTGGGCCCTCTGTAGCATCCGCCTTCACATTGGCGGACTCTTGACGATCGGCATCGGTCTCTGCAGGCGCATCCGGTTCTGCACAAGTCTTGCAATTGACCAGTTTCTTATTGTACATGTTGACGCGTTTCTTCTCCTGCAGCTTCGCATGGATATCCATCCCCTTCGCGCCGCTGATGAATTGATGCTTCCGCTCAATGGCAACGATGTGTCTGTTGTAGGGAGCACACGCAAGCGTCCGTCCGAGGTAGCTCTGGCCCGAACCGAAATCGACAATGTGTGTGATCGGATCGCCCCGTTGTTCATCCACCGTAGCACAGAGGGAATCGACGTATTTCGAAAAGTGCGCGACCTCGTGATACTTCTTGACATTCATGCCAACCGCGATCTTCCTCGGGATCGTCGGCGTTCCGGGCTGCGCGGGGGTTAAATCCCGCCCCAGACTCAGTCGACGGATCTGATGGATATACTCCAATAGGTCCAAGGGAGGCAGAGGCGCCCCACGCCACTGTGCAGTTGACTCGCCGCCACGCGCAGCAGCCTCCCGACTCTGGTCTAACAGAGGTCGGATGTCATCCCGCAGAAGCAGGTCCAGAATGTCTTGAATATCATGCTGGTCGAAAAAGGTCCTCCAGTGTTCCGGCAACAGCGAGGTATACAGGTCAGGTTCTCGGGTCAGGAAATCGAGGATGTGTACACCGCCGCAAAGATGCCTGAAGATGGCGGAAGAATTGGCGAAGGATAGGAGGGCCTCGACGTAGGCATCTGGATCCGTCCACTCTTCGGCGAGTGGGAGGGGTTGCGACGGAATCATGCGTCAGGTGCGATTGCAGCGAAATCGGGCTAGACTGGGATGGATATGCAGGATGACATCCGAACCGGATTCAGGGATTGTGAAGATGTCTGACGGAGAGTCCAATGGGCGAAAAGGACAATGCGGGAAGGAGGGGATGGAAAGACAGACAGAACAAACAAGGAAAAGTAATGGGGAGGAAAGAGAGACGGAGAGAGAGAGATGGTGGGGTGATTTGCTATCGATATACACGACCCCGAAATTTTTCGAGGGGCGATCGATAGAGCAAAGGCGGATGTGGTTTAGCCGTGGTCGGACCCACCGATGAAAGCAGCCAGTCAACAAACATTATTCCATCATTAAAGGTGGACGGAGTCTCCGGGTCGGGAGATGCGGAGATGGAGAAGGAGGGCAGAAAGAGCGGATGGATCCAAACTCGACTCATCAATCATCACCACCAACCTTTATTGAACTTCCTGACCCTCCTCTATCTCCTTTCTCTTCTTTCTCACCTATCTATTGGTCCCTGCAATTCTGACAGCAATACTATCTCGTTAGCGTGTCTTCCTGTCCTCCCTCCCTGTTGAACCCCTGACGACCACTCAAAAGGGCACTATTGAAACTATCAGGGCTAGTGAGTCCTGGAAAGCCGCTGATCGCATGCTTGACCATACATCGACCCTCCATGTGTCTCCTGCGACACTCAGCAAAGACACTAGTTCGTCCTGTTCATCGTGCTACGTGTGACTTTGGACCCTTTTGAGAATCCAGTATTTGTGTCAAGGCAAACAGCAAAGTCGGGCTGGTGCTGGCAACCCCATTTCTCTGTCTCTACTCTCTCTCTTTCTGCCTCTCTGTCTGTCTCCTCCAATCCCCTTCCACCCGTAGTCTCTAAATCGCCTGATACCCTGAAACGTGGTCAAGACTTGTCATCATCTTTCAAGCCCAGTCCACCCCAGAAATGGTACCACGTATTATATAAGAAAGGTGACCAGTCAGCTTACTGTCATTCGGTTGCTGCATTCTGCATCCTGCGTACTCAGCCCTCCGGTATGCACCACTGCAGCCAAGCGCCCAACTGATAATCTGCCAACGCGTCACACCGTCTACGCTTGATATCAGCCAAACGGCAATATTTCCCCTTACTGCCAAGAAAAAGAAACAGCGAATCCCTCGGGCCCCGTTATTAAAGAAGGCGATGTCACGCCGGGCCCTCTAGATCCTGTACCACTCAAAAGGGTACATTCCAAGTGCCGCCCCAACGGTAAGTCGGGATGATCTTCCGGAACAAGACGATACACAGCCAAGCTCCTCCTCCTCCACAAATGCGCAAGAGACGTCCTATACTGATCCGCCTCCTCAAGCAGATGTTGACCTCATCTCCGAGGCGGGAAGCCCTTCCATTCGGCTTCGTCGCCGATGTGCTCTTTCAGATCATCATCAATGGCGAGGTGAACACCATCTTGACGCTCTGCCGGTTGAACCGCGCCACATACGAGACCATCAAGATATTGGAGCCGCATATCTGTGGCTGGTTCATGCGCTTCCATGCAATGGAATTCGATCCCATTCTTACCCTTAACCCGTGGACGGGAGAGCAGAGTCCACTAACTGTGCACTCCCTCGTAAGGTTCTTCCAGCGCCACAACATCGCCAAGGACTTATCGCGACATATTGTACCGTCAGTGTGGGGACCTTTCTGCGATGACGGGAATCCAGAGATGAACTTTGAAGCGGAGTTACGCCTTGCCAACCGGTTAGAACGAGGGTTACACGTTCTCTTTCACATGGCCGACATTGCGCGTGACACCGAAAGGCTGAAGCCCAGCAGGAAGCCACTGACCCCTGTTGTCAGTGGACGTCTCTTCGTGCTCGGCAAGATGTTGGACGAGTATGATGAGCTTCCCCAGCACAGGAAACAGTTGATGTCATTTGAAGAGTACACCAACCACGTCTATACGGTCCTAAAGTGGGGATATGTGGAGGCCGATATTGGCCGCAGGCGGCTAGAGTTCCGAGGATGGCTTGACGAACAGACCGAGATCGATTTTCACGCGTCTCTGCGAATGTTGCGCGAGCTAATGGAGCGCATGCTTCTCCGCCACGGCCCGAAGGACTGGCACCGCGACGCCAAGAACGAATATAGCGTCATATCCTGGTTTCTCCTGAAACAGCCGCCACGGTCACTGGCGAAGCTGTTCTTGAGTCCTCAGAACGACTGCTGCGATCTTGATGTAAAAGCTACTGATTGCGGTGTTAGGAAGTGCCATTTTTCAGACCCGCTCGACAACTACTGGAAAGCCTGGAAGAATGTGCCCGACCTAGGCTGCCAGGATTGTGACTGCAAGCGACGAGTCAGAAGTTGGAGCGTCAAGCCTGCACTCATTGATGCCCGAGGAAGAGAGTTTAATCGTGCTGCAGAGCGATACCTGAGGGAGATGTGGAGTCAGCGACACGTCGGTCTCCATCGTGCTTTTACCATGGGCGTTTTCACCACAGTTATTGGATGAGCTGGGATCATTCTGTCATATTACTCTTATCTGGATGAACTTGGAAGAAACAAGAATGTCATCATTATTTACTACAGAGTAAAACAAGAGACCATCGAGACAGTCTAGATAGATCTTCGATATGGCTCCACGCCGCCTTCTTCACCGCCCGCAACCCCGGGCCTCCGTAGTAATCGGCTCCGGATCCTCTCAACCCAATCAACATCACTATCGTCGCTATTCCCAACCACCAAAGCATCTCTGGAAGCGTTGTTTGACCCATTGTAACTATCTCATGATCTTCC